CGATCGCTCGGAGATTTTTTTTTACGTTGCTATTCTCTATTGTTTCTTCAAGGAGATGACGGCAAGAAGCCGCCGCCAGAGTATATTTTTTACGAGGTGGTGGTTTTGGTGGAGATGATGATGATGGGAATAAGCTGTGGAATTTTTTTAACCATTTCGCTAACGGCTGAGCTTTCGGCTTCGTGTTTTTTTAGCAGGCGCTTTACCTGCTGACGGTTCCGGACAATCGAAGAGCGGGCCGCGCGGGGTTAAAATAAATTGCGTAATTTCATCCCCGGGGAGGGGGGTTGGGAGCGATGGCTCTGGAGCATGTCACGTTGCAAATTGTGTTCAATATGGACGGAATAAATATACAATAATAATACCAGCGTGCCATCGCATCGGCACGCTTCTTCCCTTGCGGGGGGGGGGTCTCTCGGGCTCGCGTCTTTGCCCGTCAAGAGCTGAAGTTGCACATCCCGTCACGAGCTAAAGTTATAAAGGACCAAAAGCATTCCCGCCCCCTGTTCCACGTGGGGATTTGCCCGTTGAGTGGGTTAACGCGGAACACGCCGGGTCCTTACGTCGGCATGCAGCGTGCACGCTCTCGACCCCGCGTAGTTTAAAGGGGAAAGGAAGGGGAGAGACGTGGAGGAGACCGGCGTGACAAGACGAAATAACAAAATCCCGGGCACGCAGCAGCAGCAGCGACAACATTGTGAAGGTGCCGGTTGTGCGAACAGCGCCGAGCACCGCGAGGGGCATGCTGGAACGAGATGTCACTTCACAGCTGGTGCGCCCTGGCAGTGTTGCTTTATTTATTTTTATTTGTAAGAAAAAATTTTTTTATTCGAAATATAATAACAAACATATGCACTGACATTGAGAAGTTGGGTGAGCGCTGCCTCATTCTCTCTCACCCTCTCTCGCTCTCCCCATCTTTCTCTTCTTCTGCCGCTCTCTCTGTCGCTCTCCCGCCCTCTCTCTCTCTGTCGCGCTCCCCCTTTCTCTGTCGCTCTCCCGCCCTCTCACCCTCTCTCTCACCTTCTCGCTCTCCTGCTCTCTGTCGCTCTGCCGTCCTCTCTCTCCCCATCTCTCTCACTCTCTCTCTGTCGCTCTCCCGCCCTCTCTCTCCCCATCTCTCTCTTCCTCTCCCGCTCTCTGTCGCTCTGCCGCCCTCTCTCTCCCCATCTCTCTCACTCTCTCTCTCTGTCGCTCTCCCGCCCTCTCTCTCCCCATCTCCCGCCCTCTCTCTCCCCATCTCTCTCTTCCTCTCCCGCTTTCTCTGTCGCTCTGCCACCCTCTCTCTCACCCTCTCTCTTTCACACTCCCCATCTCTCTTCCTCTCCCACTCTCTCTGTCGCTCTCCCACTCTCTCTTTCGCTCTCTCTCTGTCGCTCTCCCGCTCTCTCTCTCTCGCTCTCCCACCCTCTCTCTCGCTCTCCCCCACTCTCTCACGCGTGCACGCCTCTGTCTGTCTTTCTTTGTCTCTCTCGCTTTGTGCAAAGACTTGCGATCCCGAGGCCATGTAATGAAAATTATTAGTTTCACACAGACACTCGTTTCATTTGATGTTGAGCAGATGCTTCTCTCCGCGCGTTTCCCCGTGCTCTTTCTTTCATGGGGGCCTTTGTTTGGTGGTAGGGCACGGGGTCCGCTCTGCACACCACCCCGGTGCAAGATCAACAAGGGGGGGACATGAAACACTGTGGAAAACAATGCCCTCCAACGCATGAAATTTTAAAGTGCTTTTTTTGATAACCCAATATATATATTTTTTTATTACTATTGTGATCATCGTCGTCATTGCAACCTGCCGCTGCATCTCCCCCCACTTTTACGAGCCGCGTGGGGGGGGCCAGGGATTCAGGGCAATGTGCCGTGAAGTAAACAAGAAAAATCTCCTTTTGTGTGTTCATTTCAGAGCGAAGCCCCCGAAGCTACGCTTGTGTTCACGCGGGCGTTGGCACGCCGGCCGACGTGACGCTGTCAGGAAGCCGTGTGGGTTTTTGCCACCCGTCCTTGCCCCTTTGAGCTCTCGGTTTCACTTTGTCGCGCTTTGTTCCTTTCATTCGTCATCTTTCACGGCGATCGGTTGCAGCTCGCCTACATCTTGAGACCAGCCTTTTTTTTCTTTATATCTTTCTCACTTTATTTTATTATCATACTCTACTTGCAAATCTGTGCGACTGATTGGGGAGAAAGAAAAACAATTAACTTGGATGGGAGACCTGGGCAAATAAGGTCCGAGCAAGAAAAGTCGAAGCAATGAACTCGCTCCCCATGGGTATCATATTTTAACTTGGTATTTTTAAATCGCTCCTGGTTTACTCCGTAATCAAACGGTGATTAACCGGCTCGCTGCGTTTATTTACGTGGCGGGCAGTGCTGGGGGCGACCGTCTGTGGTCGAGGCAGACGAATTCACAACGAGCGGCGGATGGCACACGTCAAGATCAACGAGGGGACGACGCAACGCGCCGCCGTTGGGCTGCGAAAGTCACGCGAGTCGCGTCAGCGCCTGATGATCCGTGCGTCACCACGATGCGCGAATCATCTTCAACGACGCCACTGCCGCGTCGGGTTTTACCGCCGCTGCTCTTCCGCCTGTGGTTTCGGTTCGTTCCACAGTGCCGGTGATCCGACGTTTGGCTGCCACGTGCCTCCCCTTAACACGGTTGGCTACGTGCGGTGCAAAATAAGTTTTTACGTACGTACGTGCGTACACGCGCTGGCAGCTGCCGAGTCGACCTTCCCAACCCGTGGAGCTAGACGAAGGGCTTGTGCGCGGCGCGACCAGAAAGCACATCGGAGAGTCGTCAAGCAACATGGCACGGAGGAAAGTAAAAAATCGCATGACTTGTAATACCTTTACAAAGAGCAAGGTTTGGGCAGGACACATCCCATGGCGAGAAGGGGGAATGGACGATGGTCAGGAATAATAGCGGAGTGGCGGCATAGCTATGGAATGCATGCGAGACAGGAACGTCCGTCGGGGAGATGGAGCGATGATATCGGCGTGAATGCTGGAGGAAGATTGATCGGTGCATCACAGGATTCGAAGGCGTGGTGTGTGGAGGGAGGCCTTCATCCAGCAGTGGACCGACGGTGGCTGATGATGATGTATTGCAGCAGCCTCAACTGGCCGTAGGGGCCACGTGAACCCATTTAGCGACTGCGCGTGCGAACGTTCTTACGCTTGCTGCTCGATGCGTGTATTACGAGCATAAGATTTCGAAATTGATCGTTGAATCTACGCATCGACCCACCCACTATTATCCAGCAAACCGCATTCTAACCTGAACCTCTACATTTTGCTCACACCTGAAAACTCGCGTGCCACATCCGCACAACGTAAGTAACAAAAAGCCATAGCGGCCACGTCATTAATTGGATCATTCTCTCCTATGATTCCCGTAAATAAGTAAAATAATACCGTTCAGCTGAAACGAATGTTTACCACTCGCCCGGGCCGCGGCCCAATTCCTTGTACGTGCACGTTACAAAGCGGAGCTCTAAATTAATTGAACATCGCCGCTCGGCGTTCCCACCGGGCGCTTTCTGCAGCTTGGTTTTTTGTTGTGTTTCACGCACCAGCGGCGAAGAGGGAGAAACATTCGCCGGCAAAAAGTGCGGCGGTGCTCAGGACGCTGCGTGATACCCACGTGCCGATCGCCGCCGCGCCGAGCGTCGTCGCTCGAATCGCGGAACAAAAATCGGAACGCAAAAAAAAAACGACTGTGTCAGCCGGCGCGCGACGGATTCAGTCGAGACATAAAGCGAACTGCAGATCGATTGATTCAAATAATTAATTACTCTCGTTGTTACCGTGGACCCGGCTGCTCTATGTATCATTGCCCCCGCTGCACCAGACCAATGAGTAGTCCCCCTTGCCATATCCTACGTCAACTGGTATTGTTAGTAGTAAGGCCAGTATTGTTTACATCCTTCATATTAAAACAATCGTAAATAAATGAACGTACTTTTTTAATGAAAAATGTGACGGGATTATTTTCCCCTTTGGACCATGATCACCACACCGTCCAGTGCAGCCAGATCCCAGCCAACAGGCCCAGTTCCAACGTCACTTAAACTATTAAGCAATTTTTTATTTTGCCAGATTAGGCCCACTGAGCTATATAGCTTTAGAACCGACCTGGTCACAAATGATAGTGCAACAAAGTGGCTTATCAAAGTGGACATTTATAGCAGCCAAATACTCTCAACACGTGACGTTCATTCTAAATGCGGAGGAGAAAACCAGAGGACCCAGCGAAAAATCCACGCGCCCACGGGGAGAGAGACACGCAAACTCCACAAACACAAGCTGATGGTAGCTGTGGCCGGGAATCTAACTCGGCGCCTGCATAGAGGCCAGCTGATGTTGCACCAGCTGATGTTGCACCAGCTGAAGTTGCACCAGCTGATGTTGCACCAGCTGATGTTGCACCAGCTGATGTTGCACCAGTTGATGTTGTACCAGCTGATGTTGCACCACTGATGTTGCACCAGCTGATGTTGCACCAGCTGATGTTGCACCAGCTGATGTTGCATCACTGATGTTGCACCAGCTGATGTTGCACCAGCTGAAGTTGCACCATCTGATGTTGCACCAGCTGATGTTGCACCAGCTGATGTTGCACCAGCTGAAGTTGCACCAGCTGATGTTGCACCAGCTGAAGTTGCACCAGCTGAAGTTGCACCAGCTGATGTTGCATCACTGATGTTGCATCAGTTGATGTTGCACCAGCTGATGTTGCACCAGCTGATGTTGCATCATTGATGTTGTACCAGCTGAAGTTGCACCAGCTGAAGTTGCACCAGCTGATGTTGCATCACTGATGTTGCATCACTGATGTTGCACCAGCTGATGTTGCACCAGCTGAAGTTGCACCAGCTGATGTTGCACCAGCTGAAGTTGCACCAGCTGATGTTGCACCAGCTGATGTTGCACCAGCTGATGTTGCACCAGCTAATGCTGCATCCTCTCTCCCCCTGCCCCCCACCCCACCCCACCCACAGGCGAGTTTCCGACGCTTGCGGCCGGGCAGCCGGCACGAGTACACGAGCTGCACCACGTTCACGACGAGCTCGGGCGACATGGAGGGCTACTACACCTTCCACCAGCTCGGCAACCCCGAGGCCGTGTTCACCGCCACCGTGCCACGCTTCCACATGGTGTGCCCGCCGCTGCGCCTGGCGCAGGACGGACAGGTGGGATGACGACAATTTTTTTGCGACGTGCCGATTGGGGTGTGGGGAGCGATCGCCACCCGCTCCTGCACCCCTCTGCCGTGAACCCCCCCCCCCCAAGTAGTTATTGGATTGATACTTCATGGGACATCCTTTGCCAGTAACAAAGTATGAGAATCGGTTTCCAGCCTTTTGGCATCCTCTGGTCTAACACCGTTTTGAGACGAGGCTCAAAAGAAAGCTGTCTCTGGTGTGGACCAATCGGTTTCAAAGACAGTGCATATATTATCAGAGTGTTTTTTGTTTGCATCCTGACCACAAGAATTGTGGTTAATGCAGACATGATTCCTTGTAAAAGGTTTCAGTTTGGTGTTTTAACATCTTAACACCTGTTTTGTTGCCAGAAAAATGGGCTAACCTCTTCTTGTATTGACACTTACTGGAGGATAATGACACCCTGTGTCACACAGGGTCAGCTGCCACTTGGTAGGGTGGGGGGGGGCACCCTTCGAAAGTTTGAGATGAGATGCCGGGCAAATGTGTTGCGGTGAATTGTCGAGGCTTTTAATCGCTTTGTTCATGCAACGTTGACTGCTTTTGTTCTTGTTGTTATATCGTTATCATCGTCATCATCAGGTGTGATAAATCAAATTGCTATTCTGACACGTCTCAACCGACAACCATTATCCCTTCCAGCAATCGGATTGGAGAATCAGGGGCATAAATATGAGCGAGAAAATTATAACCGTTTCAAATATGTGATGAAATTGACTGCGGGAAATCATCGTCAGCCATGGTCCATCGACTGCTGGATGGACACCCTCAGTCCACCGTGATCTCTCACGATCGCGCAATGGGACAGTCCTCCCGGCGCCCGCCACACACGAGGAGCCGATTCCATGGCTCCGTCTCCGCGGGGGACGTCCGTACGGATGTCTGCATTCCGTCTCCTTGGCCGCTCAGAAGAGCCCAATTTAGAAATTTGTAGAGTTAGGCTGAAGATCGATTTACGAGTGGCGTATGACAAGGTCGCCCGACGAGTGGAAATGTGGTTTCGAGGGACGCGACTGGAATGTGTGTGCCTTGAACTGATATCGAACGTCGGCCGAATCGCTGAAAAGGGGTAAACAGACTGAATTAGACTGAAATAGCGGCAGATGAGAGCGTGTGGGAGTGCACTTGGGCTCAATAATGAAAATTCTTAACTCGATAATGAAAAGCAACAGAGCAGTGTGCCTTAAGAGCAAAGTTCTGTGTATGACAAACAATGCAACGTGGATTTATATAACTAGCGTCTGCATGCAACGGGCATCTCAAGGTGCCAGACAGAAACAGCGGGGCCGCGCTTATTACGTAGAGGGGCGGTCGGCCACAGGCAGAGGAGGAGATCAGTGAGGCCTTGAGCCCGAACTTGAACAGGGCCATGGAGCCGACAGCACGGATAGCTGGGGGAAGGGAGTTCCAGACTGTGGGGGCAACAGAGGAGAAGCAGAGACCTCCCACAGAGAGAAGGTTTATTCGTGGGCAGCTTCAACAGACAGCCTTCGTTGCTGGAGAAGAGAGAGAGCATGGGGGGAGTCGAGCGAGAGGTAGGAGAGTGCGTAGAGGGGAGTAGAGTGAGACGAGAGGCAGGAGAGTGCGTGGAGGGGAGTAGAGTGAGATGAGAGGGGAGAGGCAGGAGAGTGTGTGGAGGGGAGTAGAGTGAGATGAGAGGGGAGGGGTAGGAGAGTGCGTGGAGGGGAGTAGAGTGAGATGAGAGGGGAGAGGTAGGAGAGTGCGTGGAGGGGAGTGGAGTGAGATGAGAGGGGAGAGGTAGGAGAGTGCGTGGAGGGGAGTAGAGTGAGATGAGAGGGGAGAGGTAGGAGAGTGCGTGGAGGGGAGTAGAGTGAGACGAGAGGGGAGAGGCAGGAGAGTGCGTGGAGGGGAGTAGAGTGAGATGAGAGGGGAGAAGCAGGAGAGTGTGTGGAGGGGAGTAGAGTGAGATGAGAGGGGAGGGGTAGGAGAGTGCGTGGAGGGGAGTAGAGTGAGATGAGAGGGGAGGGGTAGGAGAGTGCGTGGAGGGGAGTAGAGTGAGATGAGAGGGGAGAGGTTGGAGAGTGCGTGGAGGGGAGTGGAGTGAGATGAGAGGGGAGAGGTAGGAGAGTGCGTGGAGGGGAGTAGAGTGAGATGAGAGGGGAGAGGTAGGAGAGTGCGTTGAGGGGAGTAGAGTGAGATGAGAGGGGAGAGGTAGGAGAGTGCGTGGAGTAGAGTGAGATGAGAGGGGAGAGGTAGGAGAGTGCGTGGAGGGGAGTAGAGTGAGATGAGAGGTAGGCAGGGGCAGGTCCATGGAGGGTCGTGCCGATGCTGAGTGTGATCTTGAAATTGATCTTTCTGGTACCAATGTCTTATTATGTCATGGCCATGCCATTCTCTGTTCGGTCTTCCTTCATTTCCGGTTCCTTACGTTTTTCTGAACAACAACAACACACTTAATTTTCCTGTTGTTGGCCATCCTTTTGCATATGTTTCCAAAGAGTGCCAGTTTCCTTCTCATCACTGCCTGCATCATCATCATCATCAGGCCGTCTTCTTCTGTAGGCAACCTGTTTCTGATTCCTACGTCGGTCACCCTTTGGGCTTAGACGCAGCAGTATCCTTCTGTAGTACGGTTAACGTATCCGCAGTATTAACCAGGGTTGGCCTGCCCGATTCGAACTGCTGTTGAACCCCTACAGCAAACTGCTCGCGTCATTAATGTGATCGTCATCCACGCCCCGTTGACGATTATAATCTGCTTATCGAGCTATGTGAGCACCTGGCGTAGTTTGTCATTGTGTGCATGAGCGATGGGAAACTTTTTGCCCCGGGAAGGATCGTGCCGTCGCTCGCCGCGTGCGAGATTAAGTGTGGCGATAAAGAAACTTTAAGTGGGCATTCATAATGTTTAAGATTAGAGCCAGAAAGTGGTATTATGCAAAAACAAGGGCGTTGGAGGCATTACCGCGTGAAATACATCCGTCATTAGCATGCCGTGGCTAAATAAAAACCGCCGGAGAATTTTTAATCGCGGCAGAGTGATTAAATAACGAGGCGTTTGACGTATCAGCGTGGAAATATCAAAGAAGTGTCGGAGAGGAAATAGCTGCAGCTTTGCTTTTTTTGTTGTTGCATTTTTTGCACGGAGGAATTCAAACGGGGCAGTTGGTTAGGGAAGAACGGTCGCTCGTCACTCGCCGTGCGGCCTCTCAGGTTCGTCGGCGTCCGTCCTGCGTGAAGGGAGTCGCGAAGACGCTGAAGGGCGGAATTTATTTCAAGACAACTGTTGAGATTGTTGCAATTTTATTATTCCGCTGTTTTAACCCCGAAGCATTGCCAGCTGTTTGGCATTCGGGGACGGCATTGCCGCTGCGTGCAATCCCAATCTAGTAATGTGCAGGTAAATTTTGTGGCATCGGGATGTTGTTTGTATGTCTGTTGAAAATCGTTGGTACAGTATGATGCCATCCCGTGCAAATCGGAGGTGTGGGGAAGGACAACACACCCAAACGTAAAAAAACAGTTCTGAAGAAATTCGTTTTCAATCTATATGATTTAAAAGTGCACAGCTCCAGTGACTTCTTAATATCGGAAGGTAGAGCGTTCCAGACGGCCGCAGAAGCGCATCTAAATACGAGTTACATTGTGCGTCTGGTTTTTTGTTTTAGCGATGGGAGGAGGAAACCAGAGAACCTGGAGGCAACCCCATGCAGAACAGTGGGGAGGGGAAACAGACAACCTGGCACACAGAACGGCTAGAGTCGGGAATCGAACCCAGGCTGCTCGTCTGCGAGACACGAGCCTCACCGCCACGCTGCCTCCCTTCCGGCGTCCCCACAACGCCGGCGTTATCTCCCTTAGAGGCGAAACGGGAGGGCTGGGAGCGGTGGGAATGGCGATGATTTGAAGACGAACGTTTGATGGGGAAGCTGCTTTGGTAGTTCACGACGGTTGGCACCACAGCAACTTGGCGTTATTTTAAATCGGAAATCTTTTAAGCACGCTGCTTTCCAGGTATATACTCAGCAACGTAGAAGACTGGTCTAGAATCTGCCCTGGGGCGGGGGGATGGGCGGGCACTAGGGGGAGGGTGAGGGAGGGGGACAGCCCTCGAATTTTAAGCTGTTTAAATAGAGCTCTGCATTAATAAATATTAAAAAAATAACACTCCGTGTGTTTTCACTGCCAAATATCAATAAAATTAAAACATTTCTGGGTCTCAAGGGGGTTGGGGTAGGGGGTGGGGATGAATCGCCCCCCTCCCCATCCCACCCCCCTTGGATCTACCACTGCTCCCCGATAGAGAAACTCACCTACGGGTAGTGCCTAGTTGCTGTCGCTGCAGTGGCACTGCGCAGTGGCTTGGTTGTGAAGCCTTCATCCAGCAGCGGACAGACCATGACGATGTCATTCTGCCCGCAGCTGAAGGAGTAACTGTCGGAGGAGGAGGAGCAAGAGGAGTCGATGACCCCATCGCTGACCTCGACATCATCGTTGCGAGGACACCGCAGCCATCGAGCAAGGGACGGGGGGGGGGGGGTGCGGACGACGATCGGGCCGCGGTGTTTTGCCGCACGCCGATGACAAGCAACGCGCGCGGGTGCTCGAGTCGCCGATACCTACGCAGCGCCCCGCGTTTCACAGTGAGCCGCCAGCCAACGGCGACAACCGGAGATGGCCTTGCGGTTTATTTTCGGGAGTTTTTCTTTCTTTATCTACTTTTCCCTGTTGGTGCTGCCTTGCCGCGTCTGCGGAGGTCTTTGCGGCACAAGGCTCGGGGTGCGTGCTTTGGGAAAAGGCCGTTTGTCTCGCCGGCCCAATTGTAACGGCGCAGCGGCGATCGCTGCTTGCGTCATCTTTTTTTTTGTAACTTTCTCATGTGGATAGCGCGGTTTTCGTTGTTTTTTTTGTTCGCAGGTATCGTTCCCTTGTCAGTACCAGCGCAGCCCACGTAAATTTAGCGGTTCTAATTTCTTTCCGTGGCCCATTGATAGTGATCGATGGCAATAGCCATCTGAAATGAGTGTCCTCTCAATTAATTCGTTCCGATTAGCCGTGTAAATATATTGGTACGACGAAGGTCTTTGTCCGCCTTAGTTGGTACCGAATTCTGCTCTGGCTCATGGGCTGTGTCGCTCGTCAACGTGTGTCTGTTTGACGACTTTAAATGTGGAACGCGCTCCAAATTAGCCGCTTACGAATTTGCAATCCGAGGCCAACCTTCCTTTGCGTAATTTGATTGAGAAATGATTGCGTGTTCAAAGTGGCTGCGACTGGTAGAACGGTGAAGCATTAATTCTCGTTGCGAGCAAAAGAAAAAAAGGCAATTAGATTAACAGGTTTAGCGTAACTACTTGCCGCTAACGGTGAAGATTTACACTTTGATATTGTATTGTAACGGCGGTGGAAAATACTAATACGCTTTCCAACCTCTGCAATGTATCTTGACAGCGCGTGGAGTAATATCGCCGTGGTTATTTTAATTAACGGAACGAGAATGTTCAAAGGTTTCAAAGCCACGGAATAAAATTGCGCGTCAGCTGTTTGTCGGTGAGTGCGTGCGTCGTGTTTTCTGTGGGCAATGAAACGTTCGGTCTACGCACGACGTCTTAAAAACACTGAATATTTTCCTCGAAAACAAATGTTTCCACGACACCACTGCGTGGTTTGGAATAATAGAGCGGGTTAAAGTCCTGATTAGCGGTTGACTTGTCTCTTCATCATCATCATCCCTGTGGGGTTGATAACACGAGTACCCCTTTTTCTTGGGAAGTCAACGGTGGTTGTCCTCTCGATAGACTTGCCCCTGCCATGGGAATGTGGAATTCCCACCAGTGGCTCAGGGCAGTGAACAGAAGATGGGCACCAATGCCTCGGTTCTCATTTGAGCAGAAAATCAGTTTGCCTTTTTTATTGGAATAATGTAATGTAGCATCCTTTACATCCTCGTTGCTGCATGAAGACATCCTCATGCCTTTAGGTCACGAGTGTTATTTGACCATACCTCACCACGCTGGTCAGTGCGAGGTGGTGCTCAACACCTGCTTCTTATCAGTTGCCAAGAGCTCATCTACTGATCGTCCTCCGTTTCAACTCGTGCCTTGCTTGCCGTGACTGATGGGAATCCGTCTTCGCTGGCCAAGGAATGGCCCCAAGATCAGCACCACGGACAGCGCCAGGCGCTGGGGCCGCGTCCCCCACGAGCTCTCGAGGCGACGCTGCTCGTGACTGGCGGCACTGAATCGGCGCGTGGCCGGTACACTTCCCACTGGCCGTAAAAACGAGGCATCGGGGGCTATTAACTACAGCACCGAAATCCCTCTTCCCCTCTCGCTGAACCAAGTAATCAAAACACACAACGCCCCGGACGCGTGCAATGAATGCCGCCCCTTCCTCTGACCCCCGTGCAGGTGAATTGTAAAGTCCCTGCGGCAGAATGAATGTGCTTAGCCGCGTAATTACGCGAAAATAATGACTGTGCCCACAAGTCGGTGCTTGCGTCCCTGGGAGGGAAGAATAAACACGCAAATGAACGAATGGGTAAAGAAAAGGGAGAGAGAGAGAGAGAGAAAAACCCCGCAGCCGTGGATACTGAAACGTCAACATTTTTGCGCGTTAACGCGTCCCCCCCTGGGGTGAGAGATGGAGCGCTTGGGCGTTTCTCGGAAAGCGTTCTCGTTTGTGCGTTTTAATTGGGAGGGCCAACGGAATTTATTTAATGTTTTGTGTGCGTGTGCGCTAATTTAATTTCATCCACCGCCGGCGCTTCTTCTTCTTCGTCTACGACGACGACGACGACGCGCCGACGTTCCACGCCCACGCTCTCGCCGTGCTGCGCGAACCCCGGCCCTCCCGCTGCCGGCCCCCGTCGCTCCGCCGCAATGCGGCGTGCGCGCGGGGGGGGGGGGGGGGGTCACGCTTTCGCTACCGGAACGGGGAGATTGTTGTTTTTTTCCCCCCTGTTGCCCTCGACGGGATTAACAAACAAGCGGTAAGCGCGGGTGGCGACGCGAGCCGCCTGCGTTTGGTTGCGCCCGCCCGGCAGGTGCTGGGGGTTATTGCTGAGCGCACCGGGCGGCGACCTTAATTTCGGCGGGGGACTGGGGCGTTAATTCCGTCTCCGCCACAGCGACAGTTTCCACGGCGTGCGTCCGGGGCGGTACAACGCCTGCAGCTTTTCCTGCCGTCAGCAAAACGTCTCATCCGCCGGGGACCCCCTGCAGCTTCGGGGGGGGGGGGGGGTGCTGAACGCAGCACGGAGCAACGAGGAGCCGACTTCACCACAGGCGGCTCCGTCGCGATTTATCTCCCATTAAGTAGCTCAAGCCGGGATGGAGGTGGGGGGGGTAGGAGGGCGGTGCACGTTTTGGAAAATTAGGGCCCTATCAAAGCTTCCATCTGGGGGGCTCCCAGGCCATGCCAAATGCTGCCCTCAGGCTTTCTGGCAAAAGCCCTCGGGCTCCCTTTGCTTCAGGGGCTCTCTCCGTCGCCTCTTTGTCTGCTGAACAACCGACGAGCAGCGGCCGTGGCCGTACAGAGCCGGTGCCGGTTTCATTTGTTTACCCTCCACCCACGGGAGAAGCCGAGCCGTGCCGTTGATGACACACGCAGCGAGCGAGTCGCGTCGCGTCTAGATGATGGCTGATGTCGCCCGCAACGAGCGCGTCATTAGCGCAGCTCCCCGGCTGTGTTTGTCCAGGGGCCGGATTCGGACGTCTTCTTGTGACGGTTTTGGCTTTCGGCTCGGCACTACAAATAGCCCCCGGCGGTTAAACCACCCGTACCGTGTGAGGCCCCCCCCACCCCGTACTGGCTCGGCTCGGATGTGCCAGTGGAATTAATGATTACCTGGGGATCTGAGGGCTGTGCACAGGGCAGTCCATGTGTTGGGGGCAGGGGGGGGGGGTGCAGGGCGACTCACTCCGTGTGGGCCCCCTGACGCCTTCAAACCAAACCAGGATTCTTACATCTGACACCATGACGTCGAAATGCCCCCCCCCCCCCCAACTGCCAAAGCGCGGGGCCCGGGGCGGTCGCTCTGATTCGCCGTACCCTGGGGGCCGGCCCTGGCTGTACAGGGAGGTGCTACCGGAGCCGGCACACAAAGTGCGTGCGGCACGTGGAGCTGCCATGTGCATGTTTGGCGGGCGGGCGGGGGGGGGGGGTGCAGAAGGTTTCGATGCAGTTTGATTGCTGCTCGAGCCTCGAAGTGGAATTTAGAGCCAGCCGCTCGGTTGTGCAGGGGGGGAGGCGTGGGGGTGGCACGCGGGGTGGGGGTGGCACGCGGGGTGGTAATGACGGTCGCTGTCGGTGGTTCGTGTTTTTTCCCACGGACCTCGTGCCCATGCTACCAGCCCCAGCGATGGCTGTACGAGAAACACACATGGCGACCTCAACAACACGTGTGCGTGTGTGGATTTTACTTCCGCATATGTGTTTATTCCCGAGGCTTCGAAGCGCTCCGCTACACACTCGGCGACTTCGACTAATAAGTGAAAATATTTGAACCGGTCCTAGTCCTCCCCTATGTCGAATCAGCCTCAAATAAGTACCTGGTGCGGTGTGGAAACATCGCTGCTGGGGAGACAAAGGCGGTCGGGCGTCGTGCTGACCACCCACCCCCTCATGTACTGTGCTGGAATTCATAGGTGCTCGCTAACAGCACTGGCCCCAAAAGACTGTTACAGGCTGTCCGGGGGATCTTTGTCTTTGTGTGTACATAGTGGGGAGCCTTAATGTAGTGGTTAGCGCAATGCGCTCTGAACCCGGTGACCAAAGTTCCATTCCCGCTCACGGCCAATATCTGCGACGAGTATCTGAACCGGTCCTGGGCTACCCCTGGATGGACTCGGCCTTAAATACCTGTTGCCATGTGTAAACATCAGCATTGGGAAGACAAAGGCGGCCGGGCGTGGTGCTAACTACACACACCCCCTTGTGAGCCGTGCCAGCCTTAATAGGTGCTCGCTTGCAGGCCTTTCCCCAACAGTCTGCGTGGACGACACAGGGCATCTTTGTGTGTGTGCTGGTGGTAACTCGGTGGGTTTGCATGCTCTTGAGTGTCACAGATCCACGGGAGGCAAATGACTCAGTTGAGTGATGATGGGGGTCAGACATTTGTTTTTTTGCTGTGGACACATTTCCATAGATGTGCCTGATCTCATCAGCTCACGGAAGCTAGGCTGGGTTGAGTCTGATTTGTATGTAGATGGGAAACTGCCTGGGAATGCCAGTTGTTGCGGCCAGGAGATAGCAGTGCACACGCATTGAATCTATCGGTGTGCGGCACTCGGTGTTATCCCCTCGTGTGTAATGATGGGTTTGATGATGGTACACCAGGTTACCTACTAGCTGCAAGCCAAACTCTCAATAAACGTACTGCCCACGCATCTTAATACATAAATAAATAACTCCCTTCCCGCGGGCGTCCAGGACGTGCCGTGCCCTGGCTGTCCAGACGGCAGTTCAGCAAGCGGACTCACCCCCATCCGTTTCTATCTGCGCGGGGATCGAGCGTTGCCCCCTTGCATGCGTGGGTTTTCTCCGCGTGCTCCGGTTGGCTCACACTGTGTCATGAACGAAACTCATCACTGATTGACAACATCTTACAAATACAAAGAGCAAAACAATGCAGGGCCCTCCTGAAAAAGAATCGTATGACTCCGCGTGGCTCTCTTGCATGAATCATTAAATAAAACACAAAGACAAAACCCGCACCTCCGATTAGCGCTGTTGGCTACGTACGGTGCGAAAGAAATTCAACACACAGACATGTGCCATGTCAATGAATGGTGTTGTTGTTATTGTGAAGTGTTCACGCGGAAGAGCCGTCGCAGTTTCCAATTTTCGAGTGACCCTTGCGTGCAACCAATCGAAACCTCTCCGTGAATTATCTGGCGATGCTGCTGTTTATTGACAGTGGTGCACAAGGACAAATAATAACAATCTCGACACGTCCGTCAATAACGCTGCCTCTTGGCCATCATTGTCGGGTGGCCTACAGCGAGCAGCTCGGCTGTTCGGCTTTCATGATGAGCCGCTGTCTCGTAACAAGCACGAGACTCGGCCTTATTTGTGCCAAAACCCCATCTTTCTGTGCCCTTCTAGAACATCATTAGGGTGCACATTAGTGAGTCACTCGCGTGTCCGGCAAGGTAAGATGAGATGAACTACACCGACGGAGATACATTCCATCGCTCGCGGGGGGGATATAAGCTATAAAAGACAGCTTTCGTGTTCTCGGAGAGAGAGAGAGATGATCGGGAAACCGGGAGGTCTGCTTGAGAGACCGAGCCGCCAGCACCACCGTCGAGGGCGGACGGGGAGTTGCGGATCGTTATTGCTCTGCCTTTGTAACGCGCGGTCTCATCCGGCGCTCGCTCTGCGCCCCGCCTCCCCCCAGCCCACGTTTGTCCACTGCCATCCCTCCACTCGCTCGCTCCTCACTCTGCGAGCGGTGATTGTTCCCGTCACGAAGCCCGGCCAGACTGCTTAATGAGTCGCCCTGTACACAACACACACAACGAAGGCAGACTTGGGATGAATCA